GCTTCTTCAAGGAGCCATGCAGCGTTCACCAGCTTTGGTTCGCAATTTCCTCAGCCAGGGAAGCAACCAAATCCTAACCTTTAAATCACGCCCGTCATGCGACGTGTTCATTAACCACCGGGGGATCGACACCAAGAGAACCGTGGCCGGGTTGCTCTTTTACCATTTCTCAAGGCTCAACTTGCATCCTTTCTTGGACAGCAAGAACATGAAACCTGGGGACAAGTTGTTCGACAAAATTGACGCGGCGATCCACAAATGTAAGGTGGGGGTTGCCGTGTTTTCGCCTCATTATTGCGAATCTTACTTTTGCCTCCATGAGTTGGCTCTGCTCATGGAGTCTAAGAAGAGGGTGATACCGGTTTTCTGTAATGTAAAGCCGTCTCAACTTAAGGTCAGGGACAATGGAACTTGCTCCCCAAATGAGCTAAAAAGGTTCAGTTGGGCACTTGAAGAAGCTAAGTACACGGTTGGACTCCCTTTCGACTCCTGTAAAGGGTACGTATATCGTTATATCATAAGGAATTATTAGATTGTCATTCTTTATTAATTTCTTATAATAAAGTTGTAAAATATATCAATCCTAAGTAAGTGAATGCATGGGTTTCATATATGTTTTTCTTTGTCTATAGATCTATACCTTTTCTCTTGTAAGAAAACTTGGAAGTAGAGAAAGTTATATTGATATGAAAAATAGTTACACTTAGTTAGGGAACATCAATATCACCCTCAAAATGCAAGAAAAAAAAATATAAAAGAAGTGAAGGACATAAACCTAAGCCTTCTTGAAGCCCAAAAAAAACATTATAAAAAAAAAGAGGCATAAGACCTACTCTAAAATAGAATCTATTCGCACATATAATTGTTATCGGAATATGCAATCGAACACTACTATTGATTTTTGCTAATTTCGTGATGTTTTGGGTGTTTTAGGAACTGGTCGGAGTTCCTAAGAGAGGCTTCTAATGCAGTGCTGCAGAACTTGGTGGAGGTAGAAGAAGGAGCACACTGAACGTAGATACCATGTGCAGGATCAAAGTTAATATGACTCACACAATCACTTGATTGCTTCACAATTTCACAAGAAAAATAAAAACAATTACTTTACAATTTCTAAAATACACACACATTTATTTATTTGTTTTTTTAATTACAAATTCATTGATTCTTTTGTTTAGGAGATAAATTAATAAAGAATATCTTCTAAGTTTCCAATACTGTAGATTTGTCCTTCGTTTGATTATGATACAATAAATTGTAAACATCTTCTTTTTCCAAATATTGTAATCAAAGATGTATTGTAATTGTAACAAATTCATGCTTCCTTAATAAATAATGTGAAGTTCAATTCATTGTATCTTATATCTTGTTTCTTCTTCATCCTGTACTAAAGAACAATAATACTAGTAGGAGTTAGTTCTCTCCTCATTGTTAATTTCTTTTTCTTGCTACATTGATTCAATCCTCTCTTTTGTGTGTGTTTAAGAGAGGAAAAGAAGATGAATAATGGTTCAATCCTCTCTTTTGTGTGTGTTTAAGAGAGAAAAATAAGATGAATAATGCAAGGGAGACCAAGATGAGCATTACCCAAAGAAGATAAATAAACAAAATTTAGTAACGTTGTAAATCGATTAATAGAAACGGGAGTTTCCTAGACAATGTGCTCAAGCAAATTGGTCTCAAATATATAGTAAAATTGGTTATGTTCAGCATAGCAAACGGCTTCATTCGGAAGAAATCTTGATGGGAGCTGACATAAAAAGGACCAAGATCAGACTGCATGTTATGAATGCAAACCTTGAAACGTTAGAAGTGGTGCATCAGAGAATGAGATGCATTCTCGTAAAAATGACTTATTTTACATGATAGCTTGGTTACGGGACTGTTATTTAAAAATTAGCCATCATGCGCCTCCCATTTAATTTCATATAGAATAAATATTCGACCTTCTCCATCTTTAATCTTTTTCAATAACAATTTATTTCAGTAATACCCAACGAAAAAGTAAGAAAATTCTCTGAAAACGGCAAGAAAACACTAGGAAAGTCAAATGACTCAAATTTCCAAGTCCAGTTTTGATTTTTATGTACAGTTTGATTATTAAAATGCTTCTACTAACATTAAGGATTGCCGTTTGTTAAAATGTTTCTCACTAACGTTAAAGACTATTAACAGAAGCGGCACTGATCAAATAATTATATACATATATGTATATATTAGGATTGCTTTTAGTCATCACCAAGTTAAACTTATTGTACAAAGTCACAATGTATATATTTTAGTGGTATAGCAACAATATTGTAGCATTATTCAATTCAAAGGCAAAAGCTCGGAAATGACATCCAAATTAAGGAGAAATCTTTCAGTGCTGTAAATATGGTCCGGTACATCGACTATCATAATATAAGTCATTGAATATTATTTTTTTCAAGTCTCCAACCACTTGTATTATGATGTTTGATATCGGGCTATGTTTACAGCACATTGAAAAACCTCTCCAAACTAAGATACAAATAGAATTTCCATTGTGATTACCAAGAAGCAGCTATCATCGGCCAACGAAGCAGTACACCCAGCAATGCAAAAGGAGAAGGATTCTTTCCCCTCCTAATCTTTCTTCCCTTTCATCCCCTTCTATTTAAATGATCATGGTTAAGTCACGTCAACATCTTATGTTGATTTTTTTTATAAAAATAATAAGACAAAAAATAATGTGTAAAAGGAGGGGAGTGAATGAAATGAGAATAAGAGGAGAGATAATCATACTCTGCAAAGGAAACCCCATACGGCCATCCACCTGTTTATATAGATAGTACTACTAGAGAAATTACTATAAATATACAATTGTGTGGGAAAATTGACCTTGAATTGAATGGACAGCACTGAGAATTTCACCCTCTTCAACTCTAACCACCATTCAGTCACCGTCCATTTCCAACCAAAAGAAGCTTCTCAACAATTCTTTGTCTGGCCAAATAATGATTTTTAAACGTTAGGACATCTAGAATTTCATTTTTTAAGCACATGTAGTATTCTATTTAAGTGGAAATTTCTTTTTATTTTGAAGTAAGAGTAATTAATATCTAAAGTACGTATGCTGCTATGAGGAAAAAAAGTTTGCACAAGGAATCTCCTCTCTTTTCACATTTATGCTTTTTATAGGAACTGAATAATATTGTTGGGCTCAATTTACTAATCCCATACCTGATTATTTTTTTTTTTTAAATAGAGTTCAAACAATAACATTCTATTCTAATTAGTAACCTACAGATGTTTTGAATATGCGATTATGAGACAGAAGTTCAAAGTAAAAAGAGTAGAGAAAGAAACTTATGAATACTTTGAAAGAGATTTTAAGAAAAATGCATAAAACATGAAGTTAGTGAAAGACTTGGTGCAAAACCAAGCACAATGACATTCTATAACCGATGTTGTGTTATCTAAAAACTTGTGAAAACAACTCCAAACAATTTAAAGGAAGAAACAAAGTAATCGAAAAATTAAAAGAATTTCATGATTCAGTCTCCGCTATGCACATCCTCTTACCTCATGTGAAGCCAAATTCTTTTTCGTCCATTTGATTTTTGAATTTGTATTTTATTCAAGCCACTATTTTCTTAAAGCCTTTATAGATTCTCATCACTCTTGCTTGTTTGACTGCATGCCTTACTTTGCGTAGCTCAAAGCCTCAATACGTGTCTAGTTATTTTACACGCGCTATATGGATTGACGAGGATGCGTGTGATGCTATGATCACTTGAGTTTTATCACTTTTTCTCACTCATGTCATGCTCACCGTTCTATAATTCTCGCTTAGATCCGTCTAGACGGCATAGGTGTTATGCAATTGGTCATCGTTTCGATTAATTCTTAAGCATTTGAAAATTAACAAAGGGCGTCTAGACTTACTTAGGTGTCCGCCCAAACTTGCTTAGGCACCTGCCTAAGTCGTGACTCTCGCTTAAACAAAAAATAGATAACTTTCGTTTTGCATTTTACTTTTTTAATAAATTGTAAGAGATTTGTTGAATACTTAGATGAACACATATTATATGTTTGTTCCTCATGTCTTCATTATGTTCTAATACTTTATAATTTATATATCATTATGCTTTGTAGTCTATATATCATTATGCTTTGTAGTTTATTTACCCACATGTAATTATGTATTTTGTATTTTAAATTATAAAAAAATTATACAATATCGATTTAAAGAGATTGGCAGACTGTCTTGATTAACAAGTCTTACTCAAATGTGAACTCAAAACAAAATTATATGAGTAGGTAAATGATCTAGTTTGATTCGAGGATCCTCCCAATATTATATACACAACGTCATCATCCAACACTCTCCTGTGTAATTGAGTTTTATTCAAATAAAGCCAACGTTTCCTTAAGAAAAATACAAAACTGCCTTAATACGGGTCGAACCACAATCTCATACCTCATGTTTTAAGCATTGCAATGTCATATCTCAATTTATGGATTCGTTGCAATGTCAGACTTTCATTCAATTTTCTGTTTAAATGATAACGTGATAGGAACGGGGCCCACTATTTGCCCAATTAAAATAAAAACATTAATTAAGATAAATTATTAATTTTTATTTAGTAATTAAATTAATTAAAATTTCTTCAAGTTGCCTCCACTACCCTTCTCCACCCCCTTGCCGACTCCCCTCCCTAATACCAGTAGCATCCACCCACCTATCCCTCCCTTTCTCTCAGGATTCCCTCTCTCCCTTTTATCTTTCATTTTCATTGTTTATCCGTTTCTCTCACGTCTCTCTCTCCATTTCTAACAAACTGATAAATGAGGAAAAGAGAGAAAAGATGGCGTGCCAGCCCGTGGAATCACAAGGCGGCAATGGAGGTGGGGGGTTTCTGGGAACCGTTTGACTGGCGAAATACCCAAGTCCTTTTCGATTTTCGCCATAACCGCTTTCGCTCAAAACCCGGGTCTATGCGGGTCTCCAATGCAGAGCTGCAAGGGCACATCAAATGACCCAACCCGGACCGGATTCGAGGCATTTCTCGCAACACCAACTGGAGTTTTCTGAGGTTCACTCCTCACCATCAACGACGGTGTATCAGCCGGTATGGAGGAACTCGACGAGGCGGCCGGAGTGGGAGGCCGTGGGCGGCGAAGAGAGCGTTGAGGTCCAGGGAAATGTCACTGGGGATCAACGCAGGAAATTTGGTTGTGTTTAAGGAGAGAAAGGGAGAAGGGGGATGGAGGAATGAGTGAGGGGAGGAAGAATGGGGACGGATGAAGAAGCGATAGCAGGGAGAGGACGTGAGGAAGAGAGTTTTTAATTATTTAATTAAAATTAATAATATATTAATATTAATTTTTTATTTCAGTTGGGAAAAGAGCGGGCTATGCTGGTGTCACGTTATTATTTAATTGACAAATTGATAAAAAATTTAACAGAAGTTTGACATTGTAATAAATTCATAAGTTGAGATATGGCATTGTAATGTTTAAAAAATGAGTTATGAGATTGTAGTTCAACTCATAATTAATGTAGTTTTATATAATTTACCCTAAAAAAAAAATATTTGTGACCTAAAGAATATCTGTGGAGCATCCTTATTATATAATGTTATTTCTTACTAAAAGAATCTAAGACTCTAAGTAGGTTGTGTCGATACATCCACCCCCGTCTGCAACTGTATAAATATGGCGTCATCTGTTTGTATTTGCCCATTTTCACATTTAAACTTCTGCCACGTTCAAAAATCCTTCCTCAGTCTTACTGTTCCCGCACTAATTTCTTAGCCTCTTTAAAGCTCTTGGATCAGATCTCATACAAATATTCATCACACTCTCAATTTCTGCCACAATGGGTCGGTGAGGCAGGAGCTCACTCTTTGTTCTGCTTTTGTAATATCACAATATCGTACAGTTGCAGTACTTGCTTTTGTAATATATATTTTATCAGTAATTAAGCTCGTTTTAACACGAGCATCCAGCCCGTAACCAATTGACAATAGTTGAAGAGGTTCAAAAAATTTTAAGTGCTTATGCTAGACTTCCATATTTCCTTCAACGCTTCCTACTAATTCATGACGCAACATTTTGTGTTGTGTTACATTGATATAAGCACATGCATGATCTACAGTTTACTAGAAATTTTGTTTCTAATAGTTACTAGTTGCCAAATTGTGAATCCAAGCTTTCTTATAAAGAATATTGCGGCATTATCATTGTGATTTTCGTTTGAATTTTGGACTATACATCAGCTGATGCTCTTGTTTCGACTGACTTGGCAGCACTTGGATACAAATATGTCAATCTAGGTCAGTATCCTCACATCAGTTCCTTTATTAGTGTGGTTTTGAGTGAGCTTTTTGCTTGTTATTCTGTGGACCAAAAAAGAGAGACGATTGTTGGGCTGAAAGAAACAGAGACAAGAGGGGTAATCTAAGAGCAAAATCATCAAAATTTCCTTCTGGAATCAAGGCCCTTGCTGATTATGTTCACGCAAGAGGTTTAAAACTTGGCGTATACTCTATGCTGGGTAAATACATGTTCAAATTCTTTGTTATCTGAAATAGCACCCGGCATATCATCATTACTTCTCATCTTTCTGTATTTTTAGTTATTATACTTGCAGCAAGACAATGCCAGGCTCACTTGGGCATGAAGAGCAAGATGCAAGAACCTTCGCTGAATGGGTTTGTGTCCGTTACTATTCTACTGTTCTACATTAACATATATAGTTTGTCTTGTTTTCTACCTTTGATGAAACATCAACACAAAAAAATGAACTTGAGCTGATCGGGGCACTTCGCTGTAGGGTGTCGATTATTTGAAGTACGATAACTGCTACCATGATGGTTCTAAACCTAAAATTAGATATCCCAGAATGAGTTCTGCATTACGAAAGGCTGGAAGGCCGATTCTGTACTCCATATGCAAATGACCTCATGAAATCGTTCTACATATACTCTAAATTTGTTTACAAGGTGTTTGTTTGCATCACTAGAAAGTTGGAATCTTTTTGGTTTTGTCAAACAAAGCTTTGATAAAGAAATATGTTCTTGAAGGGGACAAGAGGATCCTGCAAAATGGGCTGGTCGGTACGGCAACGCTTAGAGAATTACAGGAGACATTAAGGACAACTGGGAATGGTTCGATCGAAAACAATTCCTTTCTTCTTTCAAGTTCTCAACCTGAATTCTGATATGCCAGAGAATTCTAACTATGAAAACATTAAGACGGTTGCTTGAATTAATCTAATGTATACTACAATTTTAGTATCACGTCGAATGCAGATCAAAACAACATTTGGGGGAGATATGCAGGACCTGGGAAGTGGAATGGTAATATTTTATGTTGTTGCATTGACTGCCCTGTTGTCTTATCTTTCTTAAAAAAAAATGCTGTTTAATTATTTGAAGTTTAATTAATCGTAATAGATCCTGACATGTTGGAAGTGGGAAATGGAGGGATGAGTTTTGAGGAGTACCGGTTTTAGCATTTGGGCTGTTATGAAAGTTTGTACTTTCCACATTGTCTGATAAATTTCAGTTCATTGGTTTGACTCGCATATATACATCGATGGTCCCAAAAATATAATTGCAACATGCCCCTTTACTTGTCGGATGTGACATCCGATCTGCAAGCAAAGAAACTCTTCAGATTCTCAGAAACAAAGAGGTCATTGATGTTAATCAGGATCCAGTCGGAGTTCAAGCAGGGAAACTGCGATCTAAAGATGGCCTAGAAGTATGTTGTAGTGTAAAATGCCGCCATTTTCCATAACTTCTACAATTAATTTTAGATTACTGACTAATCATGCTTGGGCTGCAAGGCATATGCTGACTTTGAATTTGATGCAGGTGTGGGCAGGACCATTATAAGGAAAAGAGTGGTGGTAGTGTTGTGGAATAGAGGCAGGTCATTATTCATTAGCACCTATGACTATGACATGGAGGAAAGTTGGACTCTCATCACATACGTCTGTTGTAGTCCGAGATATATGAGTGGTATGACTGCCACATTAAAAAAAATTCTCTTTCTAGTACCTCATAAAATAAATGAACTATATCTTAGTCCTCACTAACAGCAAACCGTAATGTCATTTGGTTGCAGCACTCATTTGCTTCAAGGAACATGCAAACTAGGCTGACTGCAAATGTTGCTCTTCATGGTTGTAACTGGTAAGATGAATGTCCTGATTACTTAATTAGTCCTACCACAGGGGATTAATTTCTCCAAAGATTTATAAAATAAATATATAAACATCTATTGAATTGAATGGTTTGACTTGTATATTGAATGAGAAGTTATGTGATTGCTTGTACGAATTTCTCCATTGCCCTTTCCAGAAACATTACCCCATAAGGAAAAATAATAGAACCACTTAGAAAATGTGCACAAATTGTACAATCTCTCCTATTCATATGAAAGGCTTATTTTAACAATAACCCTTTGTACACTTTATCAAGTCTCACTTTATCACTGCACTTTATTAGGTCTCACATTTCTTCTTGTACTCTTATTTAGTGTCCCAGCTTACTCTATCTGTTAATTTTGTTAACAATACCATGAAGTAGCTGATGTTGCATAAACATTACATTTAATTTCTCCATTAACATCAAATACAATTAGAAAGTTATGTGACATTTTATATAGATGAAATCCCTCATTAATATTTTGCAACTTTGAGCTACCCCGGTCCAACGTAAGGCCTGCCAAGTCCATGCATAAAAAATAACTAGCCTTCATGCAAGTGCTTACGCGTGTACTTAAGACATTTTTTTAATCACAACGTGCTACGCGCTATTTACAAGTTTTAAATGTATTTATATGCATGAATTGCTTCTATAATTTTTTTAATGACAAAAAGAAAGTCAAATGTTTGAACTAAATGTATAATATTAGACCATGCTAGAAGAAACCCCTTAGTGTAGATAACATCGTTTGTTAAAAAAAAAAAATTATTTGACAACTAATTGAATCACATTATTATGCACTGTGAAAGACCTTTTTTATAACTGGCACTACGCGCACTAGTGCCACTGCACTAGGCGTCTTGGCTCTAATGCCATTGCACTAGGCCCCCATCCTCAAATTACTCATGTATTATTTATTAATTATTCATGTATTATTTGGTGTATTATTTTGGATTTCTTTTGAATTTTTTTGTTTGGGGGGTATTTTTTTCTAAATTTTTTGGTGAAGGCAGTGACCCCAAAAGGGTCTCCTGGCTTTTTATATAAAGATAAAATAATTGCGTCACGGTGGCTATTCGATATATCGATTAAGAGTTTGTTCTCTTGGTCAGCTAGTGATTAAACACTAAAGATTTTTGGTCACCCATCATTAGATTTAATATCAAGGTTGAGATTAAACATTGAAAACATCTTCATTCATTTTCCGTCTTTGATATAAAATTCAAAGTTGAATGAACATTTCTGATTGATTTAGAGGACAATTAGTGGAGTGAAAATGACTTGCTAAAGACAAACTGGAATTTGAGACTTCTTTCTAGAAACATTATTCATTAAGCCTTAATTTCAATTCGAACTTTGAAGTCGGGCCAAAAATGATTAAAAATTGTTTTAACTTGAAGCCACGATGTTCTAGATACTATCTGACCTTCGAGTATGTTCATGTGCATGTTTACACAATTTTGCACGATATGAACTAATGAAGTGTGATGGGTCGCAGATTTTATGCCACAGAACACCATGTTGTAGTACACATGATAATGGCAGCTGTCATATGATAATAATTTTAATTAAGAAAAGAAATTTTTTTATGTTCACTGGCATCCGGGCCAACCCATTTGTTGATTAACTAAACGCTTTATAATCGTTTTTATTAAAGAAAATTGTTATTAACATTCTAAAAATTTCATTCTACACTCTTCATGAGTGTATTTATCTTTTTAATTATAGAAAGTTGAGAATGTCAAATGAATTTTTTAGAGTGCTAATAACAATTCCTTTATTGAAATTTAAATAAATGCTTTTAGAAAACGCTTTTATAGCTTATAAATGGTTTAAGTTTTTTTTTCAAACATTTGCATTAACATTTTTTATGATCATATGGCGATTTTGGCTCTTCCAAAAGTATTCCAATCAACACACCAATAAATTAGTGTGCATTCAAATTAGAATTTTTTTACTACATTTGGTAAAGCGAAGCTAAGTTGTATCATCATATCATGCATCAACTATATCATTGACCCTAATTAAGCTTTAATTAAACATCAGATAATGAAGAAATTAATTCCACATCCCTCAATCATAAGCTGATCACAGATCACTAATATAACTTATATTATGTCTGCATGTGGCTATTAATAATCCTAAATAGATCTCATCAGCAAAGTTTGGATTTTGTGATGCACAAAGCATCCCAAGTCACCGATCAATGTGATATGGTACAGAAGCAAAACTGCAAAGGTATATAAAGCTATAGAAGCAAAGCAAATGACCTCATTTGTTTGTATAATTTGTGGATGGTGATGGATGGTTTTGGTTAGGGTGGTGCTATTTATACATTCTTTTTTACCTTCCATACATTCTTATTAATTTCTTTCATTTGATTATCTTCAATTCATTTGATCCGACGGTTGAAAATTTAGAGATGTATGTGAAATGTAAAAAGAGGTGTGTGGATAGCACCACCCTTCAATGATGCTCACCTAAGGTCTTAATTTTGAGGAACTTTTTATGTGAATCAATAGATTAAATTAACGGTAGCTAGGTTTATTAGCTTAAATACTCCATGTTACACCTAAACAAAATATTAATTGATAAAAAAATAAAAATAAAAAGAGGGAAGAAGTTTTCACATATTCCCTCCATCTGCAAAACCCAGCCATCCTAATCGTGTATCTCAACAATCAACGTGAATGAAATACAGTAAAGAAAATCCAACAAATCCAATAACATAAAAACCTTAGTAACTTTGCAAACGCAACAGGGCCAACACCATCCAAATTATTTTTTCAAAATCCAGTTCCACAAATTCAACAATTTTCAAATCCGCATAATCCCAATTCCACAAGATTGAGATTGGGTCGATCTGAAAATAGGGATTTCTGGGTTTTGGAAATTGCTTCAACAATTCAAGAATTCAATTTTTCTGACAAAAACGACTCAAAATCCCAGTCGGACCTTATTTTTAATAGGCAAAAAATGAAAAATTAAGACGAAGAAAGGATTTCCGAGTGAAAGGGATTCGATGTTGGACATAATCAGCAAGGTGCAAACGATAGCACGCTATTCTCCATCGACTGGGAGAGATTTTTCAATGTGATCAGCACACAAGATAGTACATCATGTATTATTATACAAACAATGGGATATACGTGTTAAAAAATTAATAACTTAAAAAGTAAAAATTTTAACTACTTACATAAAAATACGTGATGTATTACCTATGTTCTCGTCACAATCAAAGATTTCTCGTTGACCGGAAGAGATTGATCCCCATCTTCTTTTTTTAATTGGTTCCTGTGCTAGATTTGTTTAGGTACAACATAGCTTATTGGGTAAATTACATTTTACCGCTTTATATTTGGGGTCAATTTCAATTTGTTACAATATTTTTAAAACATTTCAATTTCATACATTTACTTATCATTTTATTTCAATTTCATACATCCGTTAGAAAATCCGTTAAGTGATAACGTGGCAAATATGAGATCCACATTTGTGTTGACATGGCTACCAAATTTGTGCCGGCAAAAAAAAAAAATTTATTTTTTATGCATTTAAAATATAATAATTTACCCTATTAAAAAAAAAAAAAAAAAAAAAAAAAAAAAAAAAAAACCCATCTTCCTTCCCCGACCCCTTCCCCTTCCCCGCAACCCAAACCCCCCATCCCACCCCACCCCCACCTCCCCTGCACCCCTCACCCCTACCCCACCCCTACCTCACCCGCAACCCCCTTACCACACCCCACCCAAAACCCCAAAAAACCTAGTTGCTAAACCCGTAGCCATGGCCGGTGAAATCAAGTCGAAGATGAATAATAGAAGTCCAAACCGCCTCTGCCACCTTCCTCTGCTCCCACAGCCCAGCACAATCTTCAAGCCCAGCAAAATGCAGCAGCAATCCCGTGCCCCCCACCGTTGCTGAGTCTCTTGCACCATTTAATTTGAAGGTTAGACAATTAGGGTTTACGGTTTGCTGGGCTTAGCCGTGGAAGGAGGCGCGAAGACAGAGATGATGGTTGTTGGTGTTAGAATTGTTTAAAACTTCTAGCCGTTATCTGATAAGGGTTTACAGCTAGGGTTCCTAGTTTTTAGGGTTGATTTATCTCTTAGGAAACAATAATCCCTATACTTAAGGGACATGCTGCATGTTTCTGTTTTGACGTAGTCTCCACCACGATCGTAGGTCCGGTGATCGTGGGAAGTAGTTGTTTCATTTTCTTGTTCAAATGTAAGGCTATTTAATAGCCATGAAGTTTGCTTTGCTTAATAAGAATTATCCCTTGTTGCTTTGTATGCTCTCGAACTTTGCATTACAGCAGTCCTTTGCAAGTTTCTGGTTCCAACATCTGGTATCAGAGCCTCACTCTGGGGCCTAATCGAGAGCCTGCAACCTAAGCGGAGAGATACAACCATGGCGTCTAAGAATAGTTTCGTACAACCAGCTATTCCCAAGCTTGATGGACACTATGACCACTGGAGTATGCTTATGGAGAACTTCCTTCGTTCCAAAGAATATTGGAACTTGGTGGAGATTGGGATCACTGCAGCAGCAGGAGGATCGGAAACTGGGGAAGCACAGAAGAAGATCTTAGATGAACTAAAGCTGAAAGACTTGAAGGCCAAGAACAATTTGTTCCAAGCAATAGATCGGTCCATTTTGGAGACCATTCTGAAGAAAGACACAGCAAAGGATATATGGGATTCCTTGAAACAAAAGTATCAAGGAACTGCACGTGTAAAACGTGCACAACTGCAGGCCCTTCGCAAGGAGTTCGAGGTGCTGCACATGAAGAATGGAGAAACAGTCAATGGTTATTTTGGCAGAACTCTTGCCATGGCTAACAAGATGCGGACTCACGGAGAAAGGATGGACGACGTGGTGATCATTGAGAAAATTCTGAGATCCATGACAACGACGTTCGACTATGTTGTCTGTTCGATTGAAGAATTGAATGACCTAGATGTCATGTTTATCGACGAACTCCAGAGCAGTCTTTTGGTGCATGAGCAAAGGATGAGTCGACATCAGGAGGATGAACATGCTCTTCAGGCTACTCATGGAATCCAGCAAGGAGGACGAGGACGAGGAACCTATCGAGGAAGAGGAAGAGGACGGGGAAGGCTAGACAAGTCAACCCTGGAATGCTATCACTGCCATGAACTAGGGCATTTTCAGTGGGAGTGTCCAAAGAAACCTAAGGAGAAGAAGGCAAACTATGTGGAGACAAAATAAGAGATTTTGTTGATGGCACTTGTGAAGTTCAATGAGGCAACAGCGGAGCACACATGGTTCCTTGATTCTGGATGCAGCAATCACATGTGTGGCAAGAGTGACCTATTTAGTGAGTTTGATAGTAGCTTCAAAGAATCAGTGAAGCTTGGAAATAATTCCAGCTTGACTGTCCAAGGCAAGGGAAACGTTCGAATGGAGGTAAATGGTATAATACACATGATCACCAGTGTGTTCTATGTGCCAGATTTGAAGAACAACTTGTTAAGCATCAGACAATTACAAGAGAAATGACTCTCAGTACTTATCCAACATGGAAGGTGCAAAATCTTTCACTCGGAGAAAGGTCTAATCATGGAGACCAAGATGAGTTCTAATCGAATGTTTGCAATATCAGCTCGAGGTCCACCAAAGGAACAAAGATGTTTCTCGTCTCAAACCACTGATCAAACACGACTCTAGCACTATCGCTACGGGCATCTTAGCTGGAATGGGCTCAGAATACTTCAACAGAAGCATATGGTGGAAGGAATGCCTCAGTTCACTGCCTCTCAAAGGGTATGTGAAAACTGTTTGGTGGGGAGACAACACAAAGATCCTTTTCCCAGAGAAAGCACATGGAGAGCTTCCGAGGTACTACAACTAGTGCATGCGGACATATGCGGGCCAATTAATCCTACATCAAACAGCAAAAAGAGGTATCTTATCACTTTTATAGATGATTTCAGCAGAAAAACATGGGTTTATTTCTTGGTAGAGAAGTCCGAAGCATTTGGCATGTTCAAATCCTACAAAGCAAGGGTAGAGAAGGAAACTGGGACATCAATAAAAAGCTTAAGAACAGATCGAAGAGGGGAGTTCACTTCACACGAATTTACAAATTTTTGCCAAGAGAATGGAGTCCACAGGCAATTAACCGCAGCATATACTCCCCAACAGAACGGTGTAGCGGAACGAAAGAATCGCACCATCATGAATATGGTGCGAAGTATGTTGTCAGCCAAGCAAGTTCCAAAAACTTTCTGGCCAGAAGGAGTTAACTGGGCAATGCATGTGTTGAACCGATGCCCCACTCTTGCCGTGAAGAACAAGACACCTGAGGAGGCATGGAATGGACACAAACCATCCGTGGACCACTTCAGAATCTTTGGTTGCATTGCTCATGCTCACATACCTGACAATAAAAGAGTGAATCTCGATGCCAAGAGCTGTAAATGCGTATTGCTTGGGGTGAGTGAAGAGTCTAAAGCTTATCGATTATTTGATCCTGTCTCACAGAAAATAATCATAAGCCGAGATGTAGTGTTCGAAGAAGACAAACAGTGGGTTTGGGATGAAAATCACAACGAAGTTATTATGACAGATCTCGAATGAGATATTGATGAAGAAAATGGCACTGAGATGACAAGTCATCTTGAGGTTGAAAGTAATGAAGAAATTGAAACTGAATCTGATCATGGTGGATCAATAGTTGAAGAAGACAGCCAAGTTGATGAAGCCTCACCTTTCACAGGACGAACTCGAAGACCACCAACTTGGATGAGGGACTACAAAACAGGTCAGGGCTTATCCGATGAGGAGAATGAGGGTATGGCTCAATTGGCACTATTTACTGATCAAGATCCCACAACCTTTGAAGAAGCAGTGACGTCCGAAATATGGAGATAGGCCATGGATCAAGAAATACGGGCAATCGAGAAAAACAGTACGTGGGAATTAGTCGAGCTACCACCTGGAGAGAAAACTATCGGAGTAAAATAGGTATTCAAGACGAAACTTAACGAGAATGGAGAAGTAGATAAACATAAAGCTCGACTAGTCGCTAAAGGTTATTGCCAACAATATGGGATCGACTATGCAGAAGTCTTCGCACCAGTTGCTCGTCTAGACACCATTCGCATAGTAATCTCGCTTGCTGCGCAAAAGAACTAGGACATTTATCAGCTTGATGTCAAGTCCGCATTTCTGCATGGGGAGTTAGATGAAGAAGTATTTGTTGATCAACCACCGGGGTATGAATAGAAGGGGCAAGAGACGAAAGTGTATCGACTGAAGAAGGCTCTATATGGACTCAAGCAGGCTCCCCGAGCCTGGTACAGTCGTATTTCAGCAAGGAAGGTTTCAACAAATGTCCTTTTGAGCACACATTGTTCATCAAAACTGCAGAAGAAGGTAAGATCTTGATAGTATGTCTTTACGTCGATGATCTCATTTTTACTGGAAATGATAAGATGATGTTTGAACAATTTAAGAAATCTATGATGGTGGAGTTCGACATGACCTATCTCGGGAAAATGAGATACTTTCTTGGTATTGAAGTAATACAAGGTTTTGAAGGAATCTTTATTAGTCAAAGAAAGTATGCTCAAGAGATATTGGAAAGGTTTAACATGGATCAATGCAACTCAGTACTAAATCCCATTGTTCCTGGTTACAAACTTACAAAAGATGAAGGAGGAATAGAGGTTGATGGCAATGTTTACAAACAGATGGTAGGAAGTCTCATGTACCTAACAGCTACACGCCCTGACTTAATGTTTGTTGTAAGTTTGATTAGCCGATACATGGAGCGTCCAACTGAAGTTCACATGCAGACGGCAAAAAGAGTTCTCAGATATGTTAAAGGAACTACTGATTTGGGGATATTCTACAAGAAGGGAGGAACTGAGGAGTTGATTGGGTACACCGATAGTGATTACGCAGGTGATCAAGTTGATAGGAAGAGCACCTCAGGTTACGTATTTATGGTGAATATGGGCGCAGTCTCTTGGTCCTAAAAAAAACAGATAGTTGTTACTTTATCCACTACTGAGGCAGAATTCATAGCAGCAACATCAAGTGCATGCCAGGTGGTCTGGTTAAGAAGAATTGTGAAGAGTCTTAACCATGAGCAACGTAGTCCAACCGTGGTGTATTGTGATAATATTTCGACTATCAAACTATCAAGAAATCCTGTGTTGCATGGTTGAAGCAAACATATTGATGTAAGGTTCCATTTTCTTCGAAATTTGGTCAAGGATGGAGTTTTAGAACTGGTGCACTGCTCTTCTCTGGAACAAGTTGCAGATATTTTCACGAAACCGTTGAAGGTCGACTTGTTTCTGAAGTTGCGGGGATTACTGGGTGTTTGCAAGCTTCAGGAGTAAACTGAATAGCTGTGGTATTCAGTTTAAGGGAAGATGTTAGAATTGTTTAAAACTTCTAGCCGTTATCTGATAAGGGTTTACAGCTAGGGTTCCTAGTTTTTAGGGTTGACTTATCTCTTAGGAAACAATAATCCCTATACTTAAGGGACATGATGCATGTTTCTGTTTTGACGTAGTCTCCACCACGATCGTAGGTCTGGTGATCGTGGGAAGTAGTTGTTTCATTTTCTTGTTCAAATGTAAGGCTATTTAATAGCCATGAAGTTTGCTTTGCTTAATAAGAATTCTCCCTTGTTGCTTTGTATGCTCTCGAACTTTGCATTACAGCAGTCCTTTGCAAGTTTCTGGTTCCAACAGTTGGTGGATGGAGTCGATGATAAAGAGGAGAGAATGGAGGGTGGGTGCGAGTTGCAGAGGAGAGAAAGGTGGGGTGGGGTTGCAGATAAGAGAAGGGAGAAATGAGGTAGGGTGATGAGGCATGAGACATGTGGGTTTTGAGTTTAACAGCTGGGTTTTTTGGGGTTTTGGGTGGGGTGGGGTGGGGTGGGTTTTTGGATGGGAGGGGAGGTGAAGAGAGTGGAGGAGAGGAAGTGGATCGAGGGGGAAAGATGGGTTTCTGGGTTTTTTATTTTTATTTTTATTTTTAATTTTAAATAGGGTGAATTGTTATATTTTAAATGCATAAAAATTATTTTTTTTGTCATGTGGCATAAATTTGGTAGCCATGTCAGCACAAATGTGGATCCCATATTTGTCACGTCATCACTTAACGATTTACTTAATGGATTTTCTAACGGATGTATGAAATTGAAATAAAATGATAAGTAAATGTATGAAATTGAAATCGACTACAAACCTGAGAGAGTAAAATATAATTTACCCTAACTTATTTTAGTAATAAGCTTAGCTATCGTTAGATTAATCTAACAACTCACATGAAAGAGGTCCTCACATGCTCTCAAAACAAGGACCTTAAGTGAGCATCACTATACCACCGTTTGGTTATTGAAAGCAAATTGAGTGGACAAAAGTAACATGGACCATTCGTATAGTAGTCAAAGTCGGAAGAGGATTCCCTCCGAATTCATTTTATAGGGATCTTAGGAATCCCCACATCCTAATTGTTCAGTATATATCATGCGGATCGCATGATGAATAATTAAGATATTTGGATTCATATGGGATCCAAATCCGTCAAAGTCCATCCATGCATGATTAGGCCTATATAATTGATTCCATGGATCGGTAGTACTCGCCCATGTGATAATATGTAGAAATCGAAGTAATAATACAACCAAATGAGCCAATAGATGATTGCGTTTTAATTACCTAAATGGAAATTAGAAAATAACATTCAACTGAATCTTCTAGCTAGGGCTAGCTAGCCATAGCTAGGCCGCGTTATTAGTTATATGGGTAAATTACAATTCAAATGTCATTTGGGTCTTATTTTAAATGGCTAAATTAATTTGATCACTAGCTACTTGAGCTTCTAAATTAATTAATACGCATGCAATGGGGAGCTAGTAGTGGAAATTGCGCTAATTTGACGTGTTTACTTATGAGAAATGAATGTTAAGGTTATTCAATTTTGGATTTTCATGTGTTTATTAATACATACGAATTAATAAAAAAAAATATGTTAATTTCCATATTAAAATTTGTAATCCAATTTCTAAAAACTTAGAAATTAGATTGGTTACTTTGTATTTTTTTTTTTAATTTGAAAAGTTGATAACTCGTATATGCCTATTTCCTCTTAACCTAGCCCTATTTTAAGTAAGTAAACATGTTATCCGCCTGACTATAGATTCAATCCAATAAAGCTTGTTGCCTTTAATTAACATCTATTACAAAAAAATTCAAGTCAATCACATCTACAAGCAATGAACTCACTCACCTGGTAAACAAAAGTAAAAGACAAGTTCAAGAGGTAGGTGTAATTTTCCCTTACAATATTCATTGAAAATTGAATACGTACAACATTAAAGATAGGATGCATACAATGGGTTTCGATAAAAATTTTGTTAGGAATTTTAACTCGAATGAGAGAAAAAGAGCGTTCATCACCAATATAAAGATCACAAAAAAGTACTATATCCTCAATGAGAAGATCACAGATTACATCAGGACCCTTCCTTCTGTTTTTGGTTCATCTACAAATTGAGAAAATGGAATCTACAACATGCTCTCTCTCTCTCTCTCATAAAATCTGTTATTTGGAGGGAGTGTTTGGCTGTCCAACAAGAAAAGCATGACATGAAAGGCGTACAGGCAGTTCCAAAACTCCGACCCACAAAACCTGTCCCGCCCCCTTGCATATTCGTGGTCCCCAACCCCCACGTGTCGCCAATCCATTGCGTAGAAAATCCACATGTCGGCCGATCACCTGTTCCCCTACTGTCTTTTATATCCAGCTCCCACAGCCAACTCTCAAACCCTTTCTAAATCTTCATCAATTCATATTCGTATTTTTCTTTTCTTTCAAATATTAATTATTTGTTAAGAGGGAGAATTTGATGGAGAGCACAAATTCATCATCGGGTTCACAGCACCCGCAGCTTCCGCCGGGGTTCCGGTTTCACCCGACGGACGAAGAACTGGTGGTCCATTACCTCAAGAAAAAGGCCGCCTCCATCCCGCTTTCGGTCGCCATCATCGCGGAGGTCGACTTGTACAAGTTTGATCCATGGGAACTGCCAAGTACGTTTCTTTGGTTTTTTTACATGATATGAACTGACCTAATTCGCGTCTGAAATTAAATTTCAATTGTGGGAAAATTTTGATTTTGGTTTTGGTGATATAGGTAAGGCGACGTTTGGGGAGCAAGAGTGGTATTTTTTCAGCCCAAGGGACCGGAAGTATCCGAATGGGGCGCGGCCAAACAGGGCAGCAACTTCAGGGTATTGGAAGGCGACTGGGACGGATAAACCTGTTCTATCATCAATCGGAAACCACAAAGTCGGTGTGAAAAAAGCTCTTGTTTTCTATGGAGGGAAACCCCCAAAAGGGACTAAAACCAATTGGATTATGCACGAGTATCGGCTTGTCAACAACACCACCACCACCACCATCAACATGAGTTCTAGTACTACTAAGCCTCCTGATCCAGCTAACAAAAAACCCTCCCTAAGGGTATGCACTTCTTTTGTACAACAAAAAAGACATGTGTAGCACAAGACGGCCTGACTGAAAGTGTACGGCATATCGTGTTATCAGGCACAGTCCACGAATAGCACTTTCACTCACGCCATCATGTGCGACATATATCTTGTGCTCATTTTTTTTGTCATGACTGTATGATCTATTCCTTGTTATGTATTGTTGATCATGTTGTTGTTGTAGCTTGATGATTGGGTTTTGTGTCGGATTTATAAGAAAAACAAAGGGCCTGTGATGTCTTTAGATGGTGATCATTTTCTTCACAAGGCCGAGGACTCTAATAGTTCTATGGAAGATATGTTTCTCCACCCGTCAATACTGACAACTCAAAAAACACCACCGCTGCCGCCGCCACCATCATCAAAGCTGCCAACTACAGATTACACCGCGTTGCTAGAAAGCGATGATCACGAGAGCTATCTCGAGGGCATACTATCGTCAAGCGATCATCAACCAGGCTCTCACTCTCATCATCATGATCATGATCAGTTTGGCGCTATATCAACTTCCATCTCAAAAAGCAGCCTACCCTTGAAACGTCATCTTCCTTCGCCGTTTTGGAACGACGTGGGATCGATAGGGACTGCTGCTGCTGCTACTACTTCATCGAGAAAAAAGTTTCATGCTGATCTCATCAATGAAAACAACTCCTTTGTTTCTATGCTGAATCAGACGCCACAGGGTACGGCACCGTTTCACGCTAATGCTGCACTTCTTGAGTTGCTAGGAGATGGGGTTTTGCGCCCACAGTTTCAACTCCCAAGCATGAACTGGAATTCCTAGTTTGGTTTTGGTAAGGTTTCGTATATATGTTTTATGTTATTATATTTTTTTTTAATGAACATGTGATTTAAATTTTTAGTTTAGTTTCACTCTCAAATTATATACTTGTTATATAGGCGAAAACAAATATGTTATATGTAGATACTTAAACAATTGATAAAAAAATTAATTTGATAGTTTTATCCAACTCTAATTTGTATTAAGTGTGAATATATAGAAACCTTGATTTATTTATTTTTAAATCAAAAACGATATTCTACGCTAATGTATACTAATGAGTTTAGCACGCCTAACCATCAGGACAATCTATTCCTTATTTTTTTAATGTGGTATGAATGATAGGTGTATCAAAAGAAAAAAAAAATGTGGCGTGATCTGAAATTATCTTGGTAAAATTCTAGCCAGTTCCCTCACCAGGCCATACTTAAGCCACATGAGATGTTTCTCAATTACGTACCATAAACCCATATGAGATGTTATCTACATTTATGCACAATTACTTAATATACACTAATAATTTTCGACCTTCTTTTTATTTATTTATTTTGCACATTTATAGAACAGCACTAGGCAATTCGATTTTTCTTGGAAAAATGGTTTTAATTGTTAGAATTATTTTCTTTATTTTAATAAATTTAAAAACTATGTAGGCCAGCCCAAAAACCCTTCGATTAAAAGCTAGAATTTTTAGAACTATTAAAACGACTTTAAACTAATGAAGTTAACTAGGCGTGCATGCAGCAAACTGAAGGAGTTGGGATTCCACCATAAAACTAATTTGTAATATGAAGATTAGTTCAATTACTTATAACTTATAAGCACATGCAATGTCATCTCTCGTCAATGTGAGATTCATTCTCAACATACCCCTTAAGTGTGGTAAAATTTCAAACCTAGCACGTAGACAACACAAATCGGGTGATGTGAAGTACGTGTGTATGATGGGCTTCACACATTGGACCCCCTGATGTGATACGTACCATAAAAAAATTAAGATTCCACTATAAAACCAATTAGCAATTTGAAATAGACCAACTACTTATAAGTCCATACAGGATTCATTCTCATCACAAACTTGCACGAAGCTTCTTTCAGTTTTTTTAGTTGTCTCCAATATATTTACTTTCTTTTGACTGGCTAGGGTTTAGCTATCGGCTAGCAGGGCCTTATTTCATTTGTTTAATCTCTTTCATTTTTAACATGAAATGTTAAATTCTGTCTAACTAAATATATGATTTTGTATCTTCATCAAAACAAAGGATTTCGTTTTATATTTTTGTTGTAGATATTACCATCTTTTTTTCTTTTTGGACAAGACACAAATGTTCTTTATACCTTGTTATATTATTTTAAAACTTTAATAAGAAATATTATCAAAATAAATCTTTATCAGTTTAGAATTAATTTATTAACTAGTTCCGGGGCGCAGTATACCTTGGGCTTCGGAAAAAAAAAAACAAAACTAATGGCATAGAATTTTCGAGACTTTATAAAACATATGATATGGACACAAACCATAATATTAAAAGGACTGATAGTGATTATTGACAGCCAAGTGGCGCAAATCTAATTGAATGTAGGAAGAAAAACCTAAGATAATATATGAAGATATGGAAAATGGGGAGAGAATCAGTGAGGCCAATATTTTCCACGAAATGATGCATGATTATTCCATGTCGCCATCCGCCGTTGATTACAAGATGAGATTTTGGGTTTCACATGTCAAAGTGGCAAAAGTTGGCATTTAATGACGCGATAGAATATTTCATCCGAGCTAATTTTTTCTCTAATTCTAATTTCTAATGCACATTATGTATCGCCCTGGTAATGGCAGGCTTATCTCAAAAGCACTTCCACCTAATTGTCGCGTTTTCTTGATTGGCTGCAGTTCATAGCGTACGTGTCCTTGACCTATTTGCCCTAAATCTTAATTGATTGGAAAAATAAAAATTATGTTTCGCTATTGAAAAAAAGCATGAAGTACTGTTGAAATCCAAGCATAAATGGACAAGTGTCCAAATACAGTTTAAATTCAATTATTCAAATACGTGTCAATTTGTGATTGGTTTTTTAGTAATACTTGTTGCTTTTTTTTTTTTAGCAGAGAAGCATAGTTCGAAAAATAATATGCAATGCAAGGTCTGGAAAACTCTAGGGAGACATCATTTTTATATCACATTTGTGTACCATACGATGTCATAAGTGATGTGTAGATGTCATGTCAATTAATGAATTTATATCATCAATTGAATGTTGATTATATACATCGCTTATTGCATGAAATGGTATACAAGTATAGTATAAATATGTGATCTCCTTACCATTATCATCGTACAAAAAAACTAAGATCTTTTACATGATGTTTTGTAAATGTCAAGAAGACATATTTGTATCTTGTGGAAGTAAGAAATTATGGATCCACGGAATAATGCATTCTATATATATATATATATATATATATATAAGACATCATATCTTCATTACCACCTAATTAAACATGCTTTGTAAGCAATCACTTTCTCTAGTTAAGAAAGAGAACAAAATATCTTTATGAAAATATCCACATAATTAGTCCATTTGGAATAGAAATCGGAAGTCACCCAAAATCTTAGTATAGTATAGGCATTTCATAATCATCTAAACATTGAAAAGGAGATATCATTTTCATTTCCATCAATGACAGATCGACATCCCAACCCACGTCCACACTTTTATTTGTGCACTGATTGTGTAACTTGAAATTGTTCAAAAATCGTTAGAGACTTTTAGTTCAAGTAATTAAAAGCATTTACCCTTGCACATGAAGTTCTGTGTTAACTCCCACTGCCTCCCATATTGCTTGTAACTTGTGCAAAATATTGAAACCCCTTGAGCCATTCCATGACAGTGGCATAATGTCGATTGTCCATTGAGCCTAATCAAACAAGATTAGTAATTTCAAAATGACTAATGGGTACTTACTAGAAAAAAGAGTGATTCTTTGTACACTCAAATTTGGTCTCTATACACTTTTGTTTTTCTGAACATCTAATTTACTTCATTTCTTTGATCACCCAAAATAATTTATTCATTTACATTTTATGAATTTATTTTTCTCTAAACACTCATTTTTTATTTTTTTTTTACACCCATTTCCCTTACCCAACTTGAAAGGTTGAATTTTTGGGTTATCTGATTGGTCTCGAATTCAAGAGGCAGATGAAGGGGTGTGGGTATTGTTGGGCTGGGATTAGGGTGGGAGGGTGTGGGGCGCAGATGGGGCGGAGGATATCTGGGTAGGAAAGCTTACTTTCTTCTGTCTTTTCACCCACCATTCAACTTAGTATTCATTCTCCTTCACAGACAAACATTTCAAATATTTCTCGGAAATTATTTCATAATGCACCCAGCCCCCTCCTTTGCTCTGTCTAATGCTAAAAATAGATAGTATTCCGGTTAATTGTGATTGGTATCCACAGCTGATACTCTAGATGTTGGTCTGAGCTAGGATATCTGGTCGACAGTTGATATTTTAGATGTTGGTCTGGGTGAGACTTATATGTGTACCACATCAACACACTTACAGAAAATTTGACAAAAAGGTAACAGAAGAACCAAATTGATTTCGAGACTCATTTTTAGGGACCAAATTGAAGGATTTTCTATTCCAAGGACCTTTTGATTGAAGGGTTCAATTTCAAGACCAAACGAGGTAAAAACCCTAAAAAAATTGATAGATGTACAGATACGAAACTTGAATATACAAAGAACTACTCAGAAAAGTAGATACCAGAACATTTGAATGATATCTGAAGGTTTTATTTTGCATCCGTAGTTTTGTATATAATACTCGTTAATTTCTTGGCACCGAGGGCTTTATTTTATATAGAAATATTTGAAGGGTTACCCCTCTTGATGTGTAAACCAACATTGTTATCCTTTATTTTGGCTATATATAGTCTTCTACTACATATGTCGTCTAGCAATAGTTGGTAAAGTACTAAGGGCAAAATCATTTTGAGCCCTATACAGATTAATATAGGATCTACTTTAATTAGTTACACTCGAGAGGCGGGCAGAGGTTCACCAATGAGAAAAGACGTGAATAAAGCTAGTGAGTTGCTTGGTTTGAAGCAGGGAACTGCATGCCCAGCTCCTCTAAATGTTGCAAATGTAAGACCTTCATATTCTTGAAACCATCCACTGACCTGCAACATATACCATAATCCCAGATCAATTAATTTGGTAAAGTTGAATTAACAGAGAACAGAAAAAAGCTATATCATCATAGTTTTAATTATTTATGCCAACTTCAATTTTTAAAGCTAGCTAATTAATCAACTAATTACCTGCTTCTCGTGGTACCAAGGTCTCCATGCTTTAGTAATAGGCAATCCCAGAGCACTCAAGCTGTATCTTGTGGAAAGCACAGGAACTCTTCCATCTGTGTCTCCGCTGAGCCATCCGAAAAATAAAAACATAAGCCGGCGGGGTTTCATATTTTTTATATTTATCAAGGAAATCGATGCTGAGGCAGGAAACATCTACCTGTACACCCATATTCTAAGCCCTGCTGCAATGAGTTTCTTGTATATAGGGAGAACAGACGGCTTCGTATATGCCCAGTCGTCGAATATTGTTTTGCTACAACCAAAATAGTTGAAGAACATGTTCTCAGCAAGTTGGAATTTCTTGAATATACATATATTAAAGATAAATGACCTTGGAAAACATATTAAAATGAATTATAACTGCTACTTTCAGAAAAGACCGAGAGGGAGGCAGCGTTAATTACTTGCAGATGCTCCAGTTCTTGAGCCGGACACCATCACTAACATGGAGGGCCTTTTGCACATCTGGTCTGTTATAGAAGGTTTTTGAATATTCATCGAGACATGGATCGTAGCCACCCATAATCCTTGGCATCTGATAAGAATTAATCATGAACATTAAACTAATTAAATGTGCCTAAAATATCTGTTGAACCAAAAATTCATAAGTACAGCATGTTCTGATGAAAAAAGTTGATATACCAATTCTCTCCTAAAATTGTAGAATTAAGGACATAATATATCTGTATATCACTGTACTGGTTTATAAAATTTATTTAAAAAAAAAAAAAGGTTTACTCACCATCGTAGATGTGCGCTTCATCATGACGTGCATCGACCCATCATTTGAACTTGCTGTATCGCCGATGCAGACTGAGGTGTAAAGGCTGTAAATATCTATCTCCCCATACTGTTTTAGCAATTCTTCCACAGCTAGAGTACAATCCTTGTTACTCCAAGTATCATTTCTGTCGAAATCACAGCTTTCGCCTATTACTTTGTGAGTTTCGTCTGATATCACAGCATGACTCCAAGCATAATCTACCAGACCTCTCCAGTCATCAGCATCAGATGTTTCAGGATTACCCAACTGTACATCAAACACAAGAAATTGAAATGACAATTTTTTATTTATTTATTTGATGTCTAAACGGAGCTAGATCCTTTTTATTGTTTCCCAAATGACCATACCAGGATACCCTTGAGATCAATATGGAGGGAAGGATTATTGTTCTTGTCATATATGAGCTCAGCGAGTTCCGGAACATACTTTCCTGTTAACAAAGACCGAGAAGAATTAGGGTACACAAAGGAAGTTCAGTTGCAGCACATGGTCAAAAGGGTGAGGGACTGAGAGTGACTTACCTGCATAACTCTCTCCAGAAATGTAGAAGGTCCTTCTTCTGTATGATGGGAACTTGAGATACCACTTATGCAAGAAGTTATACGCATCATTCGCTGAATGAAATCCAAGGAACAGAATGAAAAACATATCAGAAAACCAGATTAAAATCTTCTAACAGTCATGAGACTCGTCATTAATTAGGTCAAAATATATAAATTAACATGTTTGGAAAATAAATAGAGCAGTAATACTTGCTTATTATTGCAAATAGTAATATCAATTGCTAGAGAAATATATAGCAGTCAACTTTTAAAGTAACTGACCTGTAAAGCCATCTCCGAGATTATCATAATCACTAGTTGTATTAGAGTATGAAAAGCCAACCCCAACTGGAGATTCCAAGAATAACATGTTGGCCTCTGCGTCATACACTTGCAAATTAGGGCGCACAATTACTAGAAGCAAATGTGATGTTTAAGTGTAAAACATATGACATAATTTTGAGTGCAACCAATGGTATATCTCGTTTAGTTCTCTCTCATTACCGACTAGGTCGCTTAATGAGAGAGAAAGATAGCAGAGATATAAAACCAGTTGCATGGTAAAATCCACCATAATGCAAGGCAGAACTTTAGGTGCAACAAATGATTTAGCCTGTCTCTCCCATAACGTGGAAGATACATAACTGATTACATAGCACAACCATTGATATATAACATTCTCTCTATTTCTCTTATAACGTGGCTGGTTTGATGATGAAATTTGAAGCACCCAATACCTTTATTCCATGAGTAGTTATTAGATTTAATTCCATGTCCATCAGTGTCCACTATGAATGGACCAATCTCTTGGGTTGCTCCATATCCCACAGAAGAGCACCCAGGACCTGAAACATAGAGCATCTTGTCATCTCAGCATATAACATAAGAGGCAAAAAGTTGCAGGTGGGGATTATGTATCATTGAACACTCTTTGGATGAGTTGGAAAGGACAAGGGATGACCTCCACTAAAGCAAGTACAATAGGATAATTAACCACCCCATAATCCAATACAAACTTTATTTAATTGTTCATTAACACAAAATAGAATGTTTATAGCATGACGAACTGTCTAAAGGTTAGGAAACATGAAGATATCAAGGAACCTGTGGTTTGCTTCCTCCTCCACACATGCATGATTATGTATTTGGCATATAGATAATTGCATACTTAGTCCAAAATGGATACATACATAAATATATATATATATATATATTCACACACACACACACACACACACACACATAATAGCATGGAATATATCTATATCGCTAAAAAGATAATTGCAAGCTGATTAATAATTGCTCCCGGCTAAGATGATCAGGTTTAAAATCCAAAAACAAATTGATCGATAATGTATAAATCTTTTTCTCATGCTTAGTCAAATTAATTAAGTGGTTTCAGTCAGGTATCACCATGATTAAGGCACTGATCATATATAATATACAGTTTTGATATTGCTCATGAGTGCTCACCTCCATTAAGCCACAACACCAGAGGTTTTCCATCTGGGTTGGACGCAGCCTCATAAAACCAGTAAAAAAGAGCCCTCCCATTTGTTTCGTTCACGGTCACATAGCCTGCATAGTGCTTAAAGTCTGCAGCAGGCTGGCCGGGCAAGTTGGTCACAAGGTCCTGAGTCCTCATCCGTTTCTCAGTACTAGACCGTTTCCTTCTACCCGAAACAGGCTCCACAAACAGCAGTGCAAAAAGAGCCAAAACAAAGAAAACTGTCGCTTTTTGTACAAAATTCATATTGTTGGATATATGGAAGTACAAAACTCAAACTATATCTTAGCTAGAGACAGCTACCACAAAACAAGGATAAAACATAAGCGAATCCACGTCTCTATTTATAAGAAACCATACGAGGATGATATAAAATTGAAAAAAATTAAAAAGCTAGGAAAGAAAAAGAAAGTAGATATCTACGTGGCAATGTAATTTTTTTAATTTCGTTGAGGAATCTGGCATTGACATCTGACGTGGGTTAATTACGCAGGCTCGGCTACTAGGGTATTCATGCAGGAGAAGGAGTGTGATAAGTGGTAGCTCCATTGTCTAGTGTGTGGGTTGGCGATGGCATGAACAAAAAGGCATGACGTCCTATGAGATGTACAGTTGGATTTTCGAAATATAACTCGTAAATCTATAAAGTGAGATGATATTTTCATTATCCGTTTTGATTCGAAAATCTGTATTTCGAGCACTTCTCTTTCAATTCAACAACCATACAGTGTCGTATTCTTTTTATTTTTGGCACAGAAGATCTTTTCAGGATGACCTATGAGTTGTACAGTTAGATTTTCGAAATATAACTCGTAGGCCCATAAAGTGGGATGATGTTCTCATTACCCGTATTAATTCGAAAATCTGTATTTCGGGCTCTTTTCTTTCAATTCAACACAGGACACTTAGTCCTCATAAAAGCCTTCATCACCGCCATCGGGAAGGCTCCAAAAAGATGGGTCCCATCTAGGAAATCGAAAAGCAATGGAATGCCTACAACCTAAGAAAGTACTACGTGTGACCTCCAACCATTCCTTGGACCCTGTTCAAGACAAATAAAGTTCAAAGACTCAAATAGCTTGACGAACAAGACCTTGCCAAGGATTATCAGTTGTTATGCTATTACTGCCTACAAGCAAAGTTAATACATTTCTCTATTTTCAATGAAGATTGAAGGAATTATTCACAAGTTTGGGCATAATGCATAAACAAACTAAACCCCGCATGTGACAACAGAAGACGCCCTTGCCCTTGCAGACATGGCGTGTGCTCTCTCATTAAGAGAGGGTAAACTGATACGAAATATCCAGACGTGGATGGGTTGTATGACTGCTCAGTTTCACCTGAATGCATCAATTACCTAAGCTAGACGACTCTCATAATTGGCCACAATAGTCCTTCTCCTAGAAAAGACTTAGCCGACTGAAGGATTCAATTCCGCGAGAGCCCAGTGAATGAGTTCAAAACAATACACGTATTTTATTCTGAAACCTCATATGAAGAATTCAAACATACATGTCATGAATTTACTTAAGTGATGTTTTTGGGTAAATTACAAAAAACTACCTCAACTATTGGGATCACGACAGTATCATACCTCATCTTTTAAAATTGACAATGTCATATCTCATCTTTAGAATTTGGTCCAATGTTATACCTCTGTTAGCTTGGCCGTGAATTTCTCAGTTAAATGCTGACCTAACTTGATCCGGAGCCCAGTTCCTCGCCCAGATGGATTCCACGTGGCACCACACCCAATGTTTTCCCGCCAAATGGCATCCACGTCAGAAAATATATTTGATTTTTTTTTATAGGTAATTTGAATTTCAAATTTTCCCGCCAAAAATTGAGACAAAGATGATCTACCATTTTAAGCACAGATTATCATTATTGACCTCAAATTAGAAAAATTGCACCCAAAAAATAATGATATAACCACAACAAAACAAGTGTATTCAAGTACAAACTACTCATCATTTCCAAGAAAAACATGAAATAGACCAAATTAAGCATAAAACCTGCTTAATTATCCAAAAATTCATAAACTTGTTCAAAAACTTAACAAAATTCATCTATCATCTCCAACCAACATTACAAAACCTACTGAATTCATAAAAACCTGCTACATCATCCATTCAATTCACAAAATACGTACTGGATGCATAAAACTTGTTCTAACTTTACAATTGCTTTACAAAAAACAACCATCTGTGCAAAAAAGGTGGCTGGATTGCTTGGTATTTCTGTGCTTGGTGCCTTTGGATGATTCAGTTATGGGTTTGCTTGGTTTTTCCCTGCTTGGTGCTTCTGGGTGATTCAGCTACTAATTGTGATGCCTAAATCCAATGTTCATTTAGAGACCAAGCAAGCTTTTTAACTAAATCCAAATTTTTTACAACTAAGGAAATGGTTAAGTTTTTACCTTTGTTTTCCTTGTCCTTTTTTTAGGTGCAGTTTGAGCTGAATTTGTTGATGATGATTGTCCTTGAGCAAATGTGGATGCCTACAAAGCAATTTAAAGGATTAAGAGTGTGATATGATGTTAAAGGATTTAAAAAACCACATAAAGTAGAAAATGTTACTTGTTTGTCCCTTGGAGGAAGATGTCTATGATGGGTTCTTGTTATGACCTTTTTTTTGCATATAGTACATTTCAAAGTGTCTTGCCCTTTCCTTCCTAGCTTAAGTGGCTGAGGAGGACCTTGAGGATTATTGGTTGGGTTTGTGGGAGTTTGTTCACCCTCATTGTCCCTCTCAGCAGCTTCCTTGTTTCTCCTCCTCCTCGGCCTTCCAGGTTGCCTTGTATATGTAGGAGGCAATATTGGTAGGTTATCAGTTTCCTCCCACAAAGACATCTCATTCATCGGCATTACTAAATGAGAATACACCTCCAAGTACCGTGCCTTCGAATAATAAGCATCGACATAGTCCTCCGGTTTTTCTCTCTTGAAATTTATGGTCGTTATTGCATGGTTGCATGGGATTCCTGTCAAGCCAAACTTTCTGCAAGAACATGTCTTCTCAACCAAGTCAACCACATATTGCTCCCCCTTCCATCATCAACTTGAAATTTAGCGTCCCATGATCATTGTGCAATGCACCTGCCACTTTCAATTTTGGCTTCCTCCAACTTCTTCTTGATTTTAGGACAGAGATCTCCAACTTTGTTCACCATTATATCCCTTCTCATCTGAATTCTCTTCATCAAAAGTGTGTGAATAAGGAGTAGCATGGTGACAATAGGTTTTTGTCTCGGCACAAGTATGACAGCATTGAAACTTTCACAGAGATTGTTCAGCAACATGTCATACTTAGGATATGTTTCAAAATGGGACTTGCTCCAATGATGTGCAGGCTTCTTCACCAACCAATTGTAGGCCTTTTCATCGAGCTTCTTCATATCCTCCATTGTTTTTTGAAGTGGGGAACTGTTGTTGTTCTGCCTACTGACCACAAAGCATCCTTCAATGTTTTCCCTTTGAACAGATTTCTGAAGTTGGTATACAAATGTCTCACACAAAATCTGTGGTGGGAATTAGGGATGACTTTTTGAAAGGCCGGAATTAACCTTTTTTGCTGATCGCTAATAAATGTCCATCCCCCTTGATTGACAATCCCAACATCAACGACCAATAACTCTAAGAACCAAATCCAACTGGACTTATTCTCCATTTCTACAACTGCATACTCTATAACCCATGTTTCATCATTTAGGTCAATGCCAACAACATAAAGTAGCTGACCTCCATGTACACTCTTTAAATGGCATCCATCTAATCCTATCAATGGTCTGCACCCTGACTTAAACCCTTTTTGCAAGCCCCCAAGGACATATATATCCTTTGGAACTTCCCCTTATCGAACTTCATCTTCATTGTGCTTCCAGGGTTAGTCTTCCTCACTTCCTCAGCAAAGTCCCACAACTTTGTGTATTGCTCTGCATGTTTTCCCTCAATGATCTTCAAAGCGCTATCTAAAGCCCTGTAAGCCTTCCTTTTTCCACAACCGTGATTCCACTCTGATTCGACAGTTGCTAAAAAGGAATCCACAGGCCATGTGGGATTCAGTTTTATCCTGTCCACGTACAAATCGGTCAGCAAAGCAGACTTTATGTTCTTGTTTACCCAAGTTCTCCCACATGTGTGTTCATCAAGTATGGTCTTGATCTGTATGTTGTTTGAACCATACATTTTTCCAGCACAACACTTCCAAGGGCACCATTTTGCACACTTTGTTGTGACTTTCAATTTCTCATTCCTAGGAAAATGGATTTCCTCATATCCATTCACTAGGGAGTACATGATGACAGCTCGCTTGAATTGCAAATGATCCCTGAAAACAAGCCCGAGTGTAAGAGTGGGATTCTTCATGTCTGTTTTCTCATTGAACTCTGGAAATCGCTCATATTTTTTGCCTCCTTCATCATCCGAAAAGTGTACACTCTCAAAAGCTTCAGAGTTATAGTAGTTATAGTATGGATCATCAACCACATTTTGTTCCACATTTGTAGTATCAAATTCTTCTTCCCTTTGCTCTTGTTCTCTTTCCCGACTTTACTCAGATTGCCTTGCACTTCTTTCCTCAGAATCCTTTTCATCTGCTTGTTCAGAGTTCCTTTTTTTTCTGTGCTCAAATTCCCTTTCTTCCACAATACCATCAAACTTGGAAAACATTAGGTTATCCTCATCACTCCCATATTCACTCTCTTCAAAGTCACTATCATCTTCTTGAGCAGCTTCTTCATTCTCTTCTTCAACATTCCCCTCAAAACTAATAGGTACATCAAAGAATAATTCAACATCCACCATTCCTACGTCCCCTTCTCCTACGTCCCCCTCTTATCTCCTACCTCAGTATCCCCTTCTTCTACCTGAGTATCCTCTTCTCCTACCTCAGCCACAGATTTCCCCTTATTCTCCTATAGCCCTTCACAATTTCTCTCTTTTTGACCATTCCCAGAATCAGCATTTATCTATCCTACCTCAGTCACACATGCTTGCACTAGTTGAGATGTGCAACAATCATCCACTTCTGGCCCTTCAATAGATAGCAAGCCCCTAGATCTGATTGGTTTAACTGTTGTTGGCCCAACATCCCCCTCTGAACTACTTATCTCTTCAATAACCAATTTACTTGGACCACCGACTTCCATGAACTTCATAAACTGTTACTCTTGGGTTATGGCTTCTTTTGTCGTCAATTCTTCAATGTACATCTCAATCATTTTATCTTTTGGAAGAAAATTGCACATAGACTGAACATCGAAATCACTTTGAATCGGCTTCAAACCATTGGAAAGGTCCATGTTGGGAATCTTGTA